GGAATCATCAGGTCAGGCACAACAGGTACCGGAGGCCAGGTCCGTAGAAGGCGGTGGATGCAAAACTGAGGGTCGAGAGATGTGGTTGGACCAAAGTAGCCAGTTCCGAGGCTGATGGTCAGAGTGTGGGTGTGGTGCTGGGGACAGTGGTGGTAGCGACGATGATGGTGAGGCCGATGGTGCGAAATCCAAGCTTCGCTAGGGCAGAGGCTGCAGCGGGAGGCACCCAGGCAAAACTCGCCAGCAGAAAATGCCACGTTTGAGAAAGAGCCGTGCAGCAGCTCCGAGGGAGCCACGGAGTCTAGGAGCCTAGAAGCCTAGACCAAGCCCAAAACTCTGCGGATGGGGGGTCAGCCACCAATTGAAGCCACATCTGGACAACGGTGGGCGCGCAGGCTGCATCCCAGTAGCAAGGCCCAAAGATGACGCTGTGCAGATGCAAGCCCACTCGTAACCGCTTCCCCGTTCCCTTTCCCATCCGCCATTTGCCCATTCACCATTACGTTGCTGTTTGGTCCATTATTGCAGCGGCCTACGATCCCCATTATTCTTTCTTTCCCCTGTTTCTAACCACCATTTACATCCTCCCAACTCTTAGAACCTCACGCAATCTATTCCCCCAGCAAAACCCGCCTCGCCATTTCGCCGTTGCCCCCGAATCCCGACTCGGATTCGTTGTTGTGTCCCGTCAGCAAGACGGTTTAACTCTGCTCGGGTTTCTCTCGCCCATTCCTCCCCAATGAATCGTCCAGCATAGCAGTCGAACGATCATCGTACGATCCGCTCACTTTGACTATCCCTCACCCTGCGAATTTCTTTACACCTTTCTTACAAGCGTCAACCTCTACCACGGTCTCATCATCAATTCACCCCCTCCTGATCCTGGTCAGTCTAGCCGCGATGAACCCGCAGACTCGAGCCGTCGAGTAAACCCTTTAGGAACGTCGCAGTTAGGGGGGAGGTGTTACGGCAAAGAACAAACAAATACATCATTCAAATCATGTCAGAGGCGCCGTCAGATAACATTCCGGCATTGGGACCTGGCCAACTTGAGCAATCCAAAACATCTCGCGAGACATCTCCAGCGCGCAATTCTCGCAGTGTGTCCAGCATTCCTCAACTTTCGCGGTCGCGCAAGGGAAGCCAGGAATTCAGTCCGACCCGGAACAGTGGCACAGCCGGATACCTATCAACTGTGCCTTCAGCGGCTGCTGTCCAGCGAGCTCTGTCTGCGCAGAGGCCTAATTTACCACCTCCTAGTGTTGATTCGGTGCTCGAGGGCGGACGTCCTTCCGAACGACAAATGAAAGCAGGTCAAAACCCACCGTCATGGCCCACGTCGCCCCGACTGAAGTCCCCGCCGCCTTCGAAGACTGGCACAAGGGCCCCGTCAATTAAACGGAGTGATTCAGACCAGACGCCATCCAATACTTCGCTAAAAAGATTGGCACCTGTCTCTCACCCTGACCAAGCCGCCGCCATGCAGATACCTGACACTCACGAACCAAATGGCACTCATTCCAGCTCGAGAGTATCAGGTCGAGGACCAAGTACTACCCTTGAGACGGTGGCAGAAAACAGCGCTCCCACGACTCCTGCAATTGGTCCGATTTCGACTTCATCGCTAGAGCCAAAGGTGGATGTCGCGTCTCTTGACCAGAGACCTGAGCCGCGACCTGATCCACCGGCCGTTAGAGATGGTGAAGGTAGTGGTGGGGATGGCCCTTCGAAAGTCACTGTCGCCAAAACAGAAAGCGGTCGGAGGTCAAGGGCTCCAAGCAGTTCCCGACCGGCTTCAGATTTAGCAAAGCGCTCCTTCACCAGCCTCACGGGCGCCAAACCCAAACCAAGTGGCGACCCCCCACGGACCATGACCGTTGAGACAGAGACTGTTACGTCCATGCCTCAATTGCTGGGCCCGGACCGAGGTGCTTCGGGCAGGGATGGTAACGGTAGTGTAAGGACCAAACCGAGCACCGAAACCATCCGGGCGAAAAAGGAGAAGAAGAAATCTCGCAAGGCTCCTTCGCTTCATGCTGGCACAGTCACTTCCAAAGCCGACCTGTTCGAGGCCAAAGTCGCTAGTGCGGTGGATGAAGCTGATTCCTCCGATTCAGATGAGACTTTCGTTTACGAGTCGAACCCACCAGACAACAGGCCCTCACGGCATCATTCTCGAACACCCAGTGCCACATCTCTTGCCAGCCAAGAACAATTTGGGAACCGCAATAAACACGGTCTTCGTACCGGCGGTCAAGCGATAACTGGGAGGAAGAGTATGAAGTTTTCGAGCAGCACTTACAACAATCTCCTGGATGGCGAGTCTGGGCCAGAAGGACGGGGAAGCCAACGTAACTCGAGTTCAACGCCCCGTCATCACCACATCAGTCGGCATGGACGGCCCCACCACACCTCTATCCTGGATACAGAGTCACCTTTCACTCAGGCAAACAAGACAAATCCCTCGCGCTCGACGACCAACAATCCCTCACGATTTTCTCGGCCAAATAGCCCCCGGACCTCCAATGGACGGGTGCCAGGCATCTTGCGCAAAGGCGAACCCTTTGATTCTTATGAGGATGCCGTCGCTGATGACGAGAGGGCACCACTTCTTGGATCGGTTCGCATTAACCGAACGCGACACAGCCGTCGCCCGCATAGCACCAGCCTCCGGCACTTCGAATACAACGATGTCCCTGACCGGAGTTGGTGCGGCGGATATAGCGGTTGTATTCTGCTGGGTCTTGTTATTCTCTTGGTCTGTGTTGGCATCACCACGTTTGTGATGGCCCTCAATCGGCCGCTCATGGATGTTTCCATCAAGCATATTCAGAATGTGCTTGCATCGGAGCAGGAGCTCATGCTCGATCTGGACGTGTTGGCTATCAACACGAATCTTTTCCCGATCACGGTAAATGACCTGGATGTTAACCTCTTTGCCGAAAGCCCTTACGTGGGCACCACATCCAATTGGGACTTGCCTGGCCAGAGAAGAGCGCTGCGATGGGTTCAGCGAGAGCAGCCAGATACCCAGGGTTTCGACTGGCCGCCATGGCATTCGGACGATGGAGTGGACGAAGGGACCGATCCAATTGACGACCCTGAGTCAGGCACACAGAAAATGCTGCTGGGAAGGGTTCTCGTCTTCGATTCACCGTTGGTCTTTGATGCGTCTCCCGTTCGACACAGCCACACTTCGTCGGTTGGTGAGATCCGACTTGCGAGACCCGGCAACAAGACTGAAGTCGGGGGCAGTGCACGTTGGGAGAGAGTGCTTCAACATCCCTTTGATCTTATTGTTAGAGGCGTCATCAAGTACCAGCTTCCTTTGAGCTCCAAAACCAGATCTGCCAAGATTGGCAGTCGAGTTAAGGTGTTACCCAACGACGACAAATCTGGAGATGACTCGGAAGGGTCTCCAACCAAACCAAAGGCTTAAGACGTTTTGAGAAGATATTGGGAGTTATGATTGGGACGAATTTCATTTGTGCATGAACAAGACCCGCCTATTGTGGGTGGGCATCTAACGACCGAGATACCCAAAGGACTGTGTCCGGGAAAGAGAAAAGCATTGGGATTGCAAGCTTATACTTGGCTATACAATGGTCGGCGAAGAAAACCAGCGCATCAGCGCAGGGGCGTGAAGGCAAATAATGGAGAACTGGGTGGAAAAGGCATTCAGCCTTGTGTCAGGGCAACCGTCAGTTGCATGTTGTTTTCCTTGTTGACGGCCTCTTTTTTCTCTTGTTATATAGGGCATTTAACTGCCGTGGAGCCTCAGCAGAGAGAGCAACCAAAAGCCCAAATCAAAAGTTCCCCATAGAATATGTCGGGTACTTTTCTCTCTCTGACCGGTTTCTCCATGCTTGTTGGGCCGCAGCCCTGTTGGGTTTTCCTAGGGGAGATCGGGTTGCAAAATGACTGGGTGTTTCTATTGAGGCTTTTTGTCCTGACATTCTGGCAGTTGCGGGCTGATTGTTGTCATTACAAACATATTTACAAGATAACATGGTGGAGATGGCGGCTTACTGTCCATCAATTGAACTTGTCAGACACGTAAGATAAATGATTGTCACACGGGACTAGCGAAAACAAACAACTGCCCAGGTGGGCGAGCGCTGGCAAGGCGCTGGTGGGGCACCAATGGGGTGGTTGGGCGCCGTATGCAATGTACGTCACGCTGCCTCTGACTTTGTGACTTGGTCTGTTATTATTTCTCTCAACGGCCATTAAGCAGCAGAGGCTGGTTGGTTGGTTGGCTGGCTGACTGACTGAACTGACTGGATGGCTGGTTGCTGTTTCAATTTAGTTGAGTCCCTAAAGACCAGATGGGCCACATGGGCCTTCTTCCACCTTCTGTTCCTCTCTTTTCGTCTCTTCTACCACCCCCTCTATCTCCTTCGACTCCTCCATCCCCTCCCGCCACCCCTCCTCTATTCGCCGCTACGCCACCCAAGTCGACTCTCTGCATGACCGTTTAAGTTGTCCAAGCCTGCTTTTATACCCACCTATCCAGCCAGTATCGTTCAGACTTCTCGGCGTTCTGTGCGCAGTTGGCTTTGCTTTCTCCAAGAGGCCCTTCCAGCGCCCACACACACAACACAAAGGGGATAAGATTAAATCTAGGGACACGCGCACAACCTTGGGAGGTCCGGCTCGTCCGTCTCCCGTCCTGACCGCCCGCAGTCCGGTTGCATGCACCATCTGATCCTTCCAGCTTGGGTGTGAATTGTCACCTGCTGCCAGCTCAACTCGACCGCTCATCCTCTTCTTGCCTTTCGTCTCTGCCTTCTGCATTTGTTTCACTTCTTCCTCTTCATTTCTGGGCATCTTCTTCAACGTCTCGAGAACACTCCCGAAAACCGTCTGCAAAAAAATCCACATCGTTCCTCAACCCCGCGCAACTCTGACAAACCCGTGCATGTGATATATCCTTCTAATTACGCTTGGACTGATTTGGACGGCTGCAACTCCTGCTACTCCCCTCTTCCGGCCCCAAAATGGGCTCGGTGTACCGTGAGAAGTTCGACGACTCCCGAACATCGGTCTCGTCCAGCCGACGCGATGGCGGATACACAACTGTGAAGCGCTATGTGGTGAAAGAAGATGACAGCCGCTCCTCTGTGGGCCGGGAGCGGCGGTTTGTCCCCGAACGTGCAGGCGAAAGGCTCGAGGAGACTCGGTTCGTTCGCCGTGAGGTCGAAGAGCCTGTGCGTCGCGAAGAACCCCGCTACACAGAGCGTGAATTGGTTATCAAGCGCGAAAGAGATGATGAACCTCGCAGAGACTATGTCTACGACACACGACGGGAAGAACCTGTCACAGAGAGGGAGCTCGTCATCAGACGCACAACTGAACGCGATGATCCTCATCGGAGTGATTTCGATGTGACCCGGTACGAGGACCGCAAGGTTGTCGACACCCGCTTTCGAGACGACTATGAGGTGCTGTCACCACGAGGGTATGACGATCGTGATGTGCAACGATATACCCGTACCACCGACTATTTTTCTCCTCCACCACCTCCGCAGACCATCATCATTCGTCAGGAGCCCATCATTATTCGAGAGAGAGTCCACGATGACGACTATCAAATTGTCCGCAAGGCGGACATCGACGAAGAACGTAGCATCGTCCGCCGAGACCCGCCGCCTCGCTCGCCTCGTGGAGAAGAGGACTACTTCTACGAGAAAAAGATCAGGGAGCGCATTGACGACCGTCGCGATGACGACGACTACTATGAGCGTCGGAGTCGACGCCGGTCTGTGAGTCCTCATGATTCGGTCTCCCAAAGAGGCCGCGATTACAGCAGCGACGACAGCATGGTCTATGTCCGCAAAGAAACCCGTGAAGAAAGCCCTAGTCCTGACCGTAAACGAGGCCTTGCTGCCGGTGTCCTCGCAGGCGTCGGTGCAGCAGAGCTTCTTCGAAATCACAAAAAGAAAGAAGGCCGTGATGTCCCCCATGGTATCGGTCGGATGGGACGCGATCTCGGGGCTGGCGCCTTGGGCGCTCTTACTGCCGAAGGTATCCACCGTGCCAGGTCAATGCACCGCAGCAAAAGCCGGCACCATTCCCGATCTGGGTCAAGGTCGCCAGGACGTTCTCGACGTCGAAGCAGGTCTCGTTCCTCATCGCCGTCGAAACTCAAGACTCTTGGAGCGGTGGGTCTCGGGGCGGCCGCACTCGCAGCTGCTGCAACTATTGCCTCCAAGCGCATGAACAAGTCCAAAGACGAGGGTGACCGTGGCCGCAGCCGATCGCGCTCTCGACGCCGGAGAGAGTCTGTTTCGAGTCTTGAAGACGATCCCGATGCGCCGACCGACGATGCCCGTAATCCCAAGCACCGCCGAAACACGATTGCGAAGGCTGGTGCGGGCGGTGCCATCGTTGCGGCATTGATTGAGCATGCTAGAAGCAAGTCTCGGGCTCGGGACGGCAAGGAACGATCCCGGAGCCGCATCAGACAGGCACTCCCCGTCGTCGCTGCTGGACTAGGTAGTGCCGCTGTTGCCGGGTTATATGAAAAACATAAAGCGAAGAAAGAAGCCGAAGAGATTGTGGACGAGCGGCGTCGTGCTCGCTCACGGTCCAGAAGCCGGGCGAGATCTGAGCATGCGTACTACGATGGGCCCGCGCAAGCTGCAATGACTGATCCGGGGCTAATCGAATACGGAAACGCACCCATGTATGGCAACAATTTCGGCCCAGATTACTATGGGAGACCGCCACCAGCAGATGGATACTACTCGAACGCTGTTGTGCCCGCTGCCACAGGTGCAGCAGCAGGTTACGGGGCCCAACGAGGGACCAGAAGTAGAAGCCGGAGTCTGAGTCGTGAACGAGGTGGTCGAAGGTCGTCTCGCAGTTCCAGCTCCTCCCCAGACCGCAGCAGACGCAGACATTCGCGCGATGCCGCAAAGATGACAGCAGCTGCCGCTGCAGGGGCGATTGGAGCGACCGAGTATGAAAAGAGGAAGCAAGAGAGACGCGAACGTCGCGCACGAAAGCGTAAGTCTGTTTGGACCCCGAGAGATGAAATGCTGACACGGGCTTAGGTCGAGAAGAGGAAGGCTACGGTCGTGATCCTTACGAGGACAACTATAATCCCGGAGCACAGTATGCCCCGACGCCACCACCTCCTGGACCCGTCAACGATCCGTATGCAAGTCAACAAGGATTCTATCCGCAAAGCAGTCAATTCCCGCCTCCACCAGGAGCTGTGCCTCAACCGTATCCCTCGCAAACTGGCCCTGGTACAGCTCCACCTGGTGCTGCCCCCTATCCTGCACAGGCCTATCCTCCTCCCCCACCACCTCCTGGTGCTCCGCCAGCTCCTGCTCAACCATACGATGCGTATGCTTCTGGTGCAAACCCTTACGCACCACGTGGTCCTGAAAATGTGAGTGCTGAGCCGAATCCTATATTTGGCAATTCTGTTGCGCCTACTTTTCCCAGTAATGACCAGAGCCATGTCCCAGATGGTACGTCATTGTCATGTACCTTTTGCAAGCACTTCTCGGGTTAGGCAGTTTCTCGTGGCTGACATTCTTGGGAAATTAGGTCTAAATCGTTCCGTGCCGACTCCGCCTCCGCCGTTCTTTAGTACGCACGACCCTTCCCAAAATGATCCAATCAATCTTCCGCCACCGGCTCCCAATCCCCCGCGTCAGGGAACCTATTCTCCTCCAAGTGGACGAGGTGTATCTCCTCCACGCTCGCAATCCCAGCCAGCTCCATCAAGTCGGAAAAGCGTGCAGTTTGTCGAGACTCCTGAAGTCTCTGATGCTGTACCCGTGGAATCGGAAGCATCAAGTCCCGAACGTCACCGCCATAGACACAAGCATTCGCACTCTCGCGGGTATGAAGCGGAAGACGACACAGATTCCACTCCCGACGAGCAGCGTCGAAGAAGGCGAGAACATTCGTCTCAATCACTCGACCCAGACTCGGCCGAAGGTGGCGATCGACGACGACATCACCGGCGTCGTCGCTCTTCTGAACCGAGTTCATCTCGAGGTGAACCCAGCTCAGGTTACCAAGGCTCAAGGCTCGAGCGTGTAACGAGTCCCACTGATTCTGATGCTACGATCGAACTACCTCCTAGGTTCGACGAGAAGGGGCGCAAGAAACCCGAGCCTGGCGAGGATCCCCTTGCGGAACGGCTGAATGAGATTCTTTCTGGAAAGGGAGCAGCAGGCAAGGTATTTGGGAATTTCTTGGATGGGTTGTTTGGACCAGACGACCGGAGGAGGCGGGGCAGATAAACCTGAGGACCTTTATGATACGACGGAGTCCTCGTTGAGCATTTAGAAAGAAGCATGGTACACAGACACATTACGAGTCTCATTTTGCTTTGGTGGAGAGGGGTTTCTTGGGAGTTTAGTTGGTTTGACTGCATCTGCGTCATGAAGTGATGACGACCACTTGAAGCGTGGATTATTTGCCCATCATGATCACGAATGTCTACGAAGGAAACATAAGCCAGATGAAAACGACACATGTAGCTGGGAAGACGAATGCCAGCAATTTGAAAAAGACGGGGACTTGGGAGTTTGATCCCGATGCCAGTCTCTGACGACTTATGATCGTGCTTGGAAGGGATTGAGATGGGGATAGTTTTGGACATTTGTCAACGTTTTGCTAATGAAAGATCTCTGTTCACTCTTCTTCAGACTGCATAGATAGACAATGACTGATCGTGCTAGTCTGAGACGTGCAGGTCGGACAATGGGTTGGGGAATAGTATGCCTTGCCTTGCCTTGTCTTTCAGTTCGGGTATCGTTCATATCTGGCTATACTACATTATACTACCTACCTAGGTATACTGTACTATACCGTTGCCGTTACCGTACCGTGTACGAGAGATGAGGTATAGGTACAGGTCCGTGAGTCATATAATGCATACAATCCTACGTACATCCAGTACCTAAGGTATCTAAGGTCGATACCTAGGTAGGTAGCAAGTCATGTTAGGTAAAGTAGAACAAGGTCAAGTAAATGTCAACGCTGCGTCGTTCTCCTTTTATCACCACCGTTCCTGTTTCTTGGTATACCCGCTCGCCGCGTCGGCCAGCCACCGTCCGATCTTGCCCGCGGTGCTTTTGCGTCGTTCGGGCTGTTTGCCTTTTCCTGCTGCTGCTGCTGCTGCTGCTGCTGCGGCGTCGGTCTCTTCACCCTGTGCGGCTTGTTCTTGCTCCTCCTCTGCCGAGAGCGTCTGAGCGAGGGCCGAGTCGGATTGGATCTGACGCTGTTGTTCCTCGAGTTGGCGCAGGCGGGCTTTTTCCTCTTCGGCGGACAGGAGGGTTTGATCGCTGCCCTCGCCTGCTGCTGCTGGCAGGTCTGTCGACGCACCGTATGAGGGCAGCTCGTCATCTCCGCCAACGGTGCCAATAGGCCCTCGCTGTGAGTGTTGCGCTGCTCCCACTCCCGCTCCCGCCCCTGCCGCCGACGACCCTTCAACGCTTTCCCTCGTAGCATCAGATTCGCGTCGATACGCCGGTGGCCCGCTCGCAGCCCGCTGGGCGTACGAGTCCGAGCTGCTGGGCCCGAACGCCGGGTCCATGGGGCGGAACCCCTTGCTGCGGAGTTTGGCTTCCTGGACGCGCTGCTCGCGCAGAGCCTTTTCCTCCTGGTTCCGCTCCTTCCAGTACTGGTAGAGCGGCCCGCGCGAGTACTCGTTTGTGAATATGGTTGGCATCTTGGGGGCGGAGAAACTGAGGGGGAAGGACAAGTCGATGGATACTATCGATGGGTGGATGGATGGGGTCGGAAATTGTGGTGGAAACAGAAGGGGGGGGAGACGTGCTTGAGAGATGGTGTCAACTTTGAAGGGATGGAATGACGGGTCAAGACAGTTTGATCTCGTCGAGAGTCCTAAACGGAGACCTTCGACCCCGGTCGGTTGGGATGGCTCAAGTGTGGGTGGTGTCTCAATTCGAGCCGTTTGTTATTACCAGGCCTTACGATTCGAACGTTCGGGTCTTTGAGAGACGTAGGTGACGAAGATATGTAAAGTAAGGAAGGTAAGGAGGACGGGTATTTGTGACTCGGATTCAACTTCTGACCAAGTTGCATGAGTGGGTTGGTTGCTGTGCTTCCCTTCCTACCTGGCGCTTGTGTCCTACATACATACAGAACTTGTAGGTATGTCGTCGAGTGCTAGACCGGACCGTCGGAACGCTGATCCCTCACTTTTTTGAGTGAATTGATATTAATAGAACAAATCGTCTTCTGATCAACAATGAGGCAGAGTGAAAGGTGGGAGAGGTTGGTTGTACAGAAAGGCTCGGCCGTTCGGTCTGGGATGCGTCATTTGTTCCTGGTTGCCTTGAGAAGACTTGTAGGGGTTACAGACCTATTAAGAGGCAGAGTAGTTAGTTATTCGTGGGGTAAAACTAATGCTGGTGACAGTATATACTTTCCAGGTCAGGTGGCAGTGGTGGTGGTTCTCGTATTTGGAGCGACGTATTCGGCGTGCCGACTTTCCCGCGTTAGACGGACGAGTCGGTTGTTCTGCTGTAGCCACCACCAGAGGTCATGGGCGAACAGTTGAACCGGTTCAAGGACAAGGTACGGTAAAGTGCCTTTGTTCGTTGGCTTCTCTGCCACGATAGTACTGTGTAGTCCACATTCGTAGATGCTTGTAGACGCCCTCTTTGAGTCGCTAAAGGCGAGGTCAACCTACGGGTGATGCGAGCTTGAAACAGATTGGGCAGCTGGACTCAATATGCACAGAACAGGCGCACATAACATTCAATTGCGGGCGTTGGTCATCAGAATGTAGCCGGCCCATACAGAGCGTCAGTCTAGATGACACCCAAGTAGAATATTGGGACCTGTGTGAGCATCACGCATATGGCCGTGCAGGGTTGTATCTCCATTTCATCTCCATCAGCCGGATTATCGCTACCATTTGATTCTCTGAGATGAATCTTGACCACCTGATCACACCCGTGCCATGTATCTCGCCAGCCCGAAGGACCATCGCAAAACCACCACGTTTAGAACACAAGAGCCGCACCCTTCGTCTTCTTGTCACCACTGTAGAACTCATGTCAGCATGGCATTCTCACTTGGCAGGTCGATAACATACCCCAACTCAAAGTGCTTGCATCGCTTCAACGATAATTGTGCCTTGGTCTTGCATACTGTGCACTCCAATCTCAGCACCACCTTCTTGGTTGTCTTGGCCTTCTTGTGGAACACGGGCTTCGTTTGACCACCGTAACCGGACTGCTTGCGGTCATATCGACGTTTTCCTTGCGCGAACAGCGAGGCCTATCCAACATTTGTCAGTGTCCTCTCATCCCCATGTCGTTATACGCAGAGCGGCTGGGGAAGAGATTCTCGTACTTTGCCAGCCTTGTACTGTGTAACTTTGTGTTGGGTGTGCTTCTTGCAGGTCTTGCCCTTGCAGTAGGTGCGGCGGGTCTTGGGAACGTTGACCTGATGAAATGAGACATTGGTTAGCATTGTCAAATACTTTGCAGACTCGCAGTTTGATCAAATCGATGTGTTCAAAGAGCCGCCAATTGCACCGCTCAAAAGATCTTGTCGGGGTCTGGACGAGATACTCGTTTCGATTTCTCGGTCCGAATTTATGCAGGTGTTGACCTCGTTGTTCCCGTCTCTTTTCGCAATGTAGTCCATCTCTTCATCATTCGTCTCGCCGATCCACTACCGCAGCGTGTATATCACGGAGGTATAACGCAAGGCATGCAAATTCGTGACAGAAGGTACTCACCATCTTGACTATGTGACTGGCCGCAAAGGTTTGAGCAAGGTTTGGTTATTGCAGATGAAGGTATCGACTGGCAGTTTGAGGATTGAGCGCAAACCGCAGCCAGATGCCAAGACGCACAGTGTGAAAATGTGCGGACAGTGGGTATTAGGGCAGGTTTTCCGATAAGTCTTAGCTTAGTAACGAGATAGCGGATTATCTTTATTCCGAAAAGAACCTACACCATCATCTCCCCACTACGCGTCACTGCTTGCAACTTCTTCAACCTCGTCTTCGACCCCTCCATCTTGGTCAGGCCGACCAGAGAAGCAGGTGGCAGGAGAAGCCATGGCCAAAGTCAACTTTGAAGATCTGTCCGGCAGCTCCACTCCTGTCACTGCAAACCCTTTCGACGGCCTGATCAATGCTTGCCATGGTGACCCTGTCAGTCTTGGTCGTCTATATGGTGTGATTCTATCTAATGTATGGGTCCCAGAAACTGATTCAAGAGCGGTATGCTACACATCGGACAACGCGGAATGCGCAGCAACGAGAGAAAATCCTCAGCGACGACTTCAAAGGCTGGATCCTCGACGAGCATCTTGTCAAGCTCGATGGACCCAGGAAGGATCTATCGTACATAGACCCTCGTCACTGTCTCGTCTTCTGGGGGAGGCCACCTCAGAGAGTCAAGACACTGGTAGATGTCATACAGTCCAAGCTGAAGGATGCTGCTCCAGGTATGCTCCCAGAATCCTACAGGGTTCGCGCGACTCACCATACAGATCTCTGGCTCATGCCTCTTGACAATCTACATATGACGGTGATGGAGGTCGCCCACTCCAAGACCGAATCTGAGATTACTGATCTGATGAATACACTCAAAGATCACTGCAAGTCGATCGCAGATCATACTTCCTCGCATAGAGCTAGGCTTGTCAAACCTCTTCTGAGCTACGACTCGGCGGCTCTTGCTTTGAGCTTTGTGCCGGCTGCATGGGAGTCACCGTCAAATGGTCGGACAGCTGATGATGATCGATACACATATCACCATTTGCGCCGCGACACATACGCTACTATAACAGATTCGGGGATCCAGGTTGGCTCCAGATATGTTGTGCCTTCGGCTCATCTTACGATTGCGAGGTTCAACTCCCCCAACGTGTTCGGAGGAGATCCGTTGGACGAGAGCGTGACTCTTGACATCAAGAAGCGAAAACGATGGATCGGTGAGCTTGAAATGATCAATAAGTGGCTTGAAGCGGAATACTGGCCTCAAGAAGGACACTTGATCATGCCAGGGGGTGAGTGGGTTGTGGGCGAGGAAAAGGGTCTCGACTTCCGAAACGGCACTCTATGGTACGGCGGAGGCGCAACCATTTACCTTGGGGAGGGATTTGTCTATGGCGATACACCAGCGGCAAAGATCTCGTGACTTTACGCCCTGGAGGCTCCCGAGGGGGGGGGGGGGGGTGCGCGTACCTGTTTTCGATTTGTTTGCTCTTGTCAAGAGGTAATGTGGATTTTTTTTTTTGGCAATATACCCTGTTTCAATACGGGACACCCCTTTTGATCATTGGTTTCTGTTGGCCATGGTGCATTCCAGGGACCATACAACCGGATATACCTTTCCCGCAGGCTTATCCCTCAACTTTCTCTCGAGCCATCTCTTATGACGCTGGACATGATGCTGAAACAGCCGGGATACTTTTTACATTCCCTCACCGTTTGAAATTGATAGGTAATAGATGACGGACTAATGCCCAGAAGAGCACGCCATGGAACTTTTCCCTCTGTGTATGTGTATACTGGAAAACTTACTTTCTTACCCATTGAACTCCATCACCGATCGGGCTCGAAATTACCAAGACGTCTACTCCAACATGCTCTTGGTTGGCGACACGAGTATCATGACCGCGGACGAGGCATGTGACATGGCCAAGGAGTTTTACGACCATGTCACGCTGGTTGTGGTCCCGGGTTCTGGTCATTTTCTCGCCGAGGAGAATCCCGGGGAATTTGGGGGG